TATATATATATATATATATATATTATATATATATACCTCCTAAAATTGAAAAAGAAAACATATGGAATCGAGTGTTTCAGCTTAAAAAATTTCAAGATCACTAACCATTTACATTAACGAAGAGTATTTTTATTTTATGTTTTTCCATTTCGGCAATTATCTAAAAGAGAAAAAATTGAAATGTGAATACGAGAAATGTATCGTTTCACATGACGAAACAAAAAGATTCATTACAGAAGCAATAGTTGTTTTGAAACTCTTGAAACGCTCTGAATTTGAAACTCTCTGAATTGTGTAGAAAAAAATACGGTAGAAATGAGATTTCCTTTAAATCACCTCTTTAATGGAACTGATCCCTGATGTATCAATGAATTTCATCGCCTCAAAATCAAACACCAAATAAATACTATCCAGTTGTTCCACACTATCGACCTGCAAAAACAAAACAATTTCGTCACAAGCTATCACACACATCCTCAATTATTCTCTTAAAATTCATCAGTGTTGAAGTTATGATCTCCTACAGTTAGACGATATTTAACAATACCAAATCAGCACTAACCCTGGTCGCTCGTAATTCTGACCACTGAACGTAAGTTTTCTGGAAAGAATCTTTGAATTTGTCCACAGTTGCGAACGACAGTGCAAACGAAAAGCGATAGTATATCGTATCAGAAGCTGTATGCCAAGAAGTATCTTTCTGAGAGCAATCCAATTCTACTGTTTTGATCACAGCACGATTATCGTTCACAGTGCTATCAAACCTTGACGGCCTGTAATAATCATGCAAATTATTTTACGATTTCTTTGACTTAGAACAACACCGACAACACTGTTGCATTATTTCCTGAACTAACCGCATGAAAAATAATTCAAGAAAGACTAAATGTTACGAAAATAAAGCTTCAATTGAGAAGCTGTGAAAACTGTTTATCAATTCACGTTTTCTCGAATGTAATACCAATGGTTAACTCACATATACGTTCTGACAACGACGCTCACTAAGGCAAAAGCCATCGATATCGCCAGACCATAAATCACACCAATAAATACAGTAGACGTGAACGCGATCACCCATATTAACTGCAGTAACAACCTTACTTACTTGAATCAAGAAACTATGAATATTAACCTAAATTGTTGGTAAGGGAAAAATCAAAAAGCATCGATCAGAAACGATTGGAAGTATACAGCTTTGTTTCGGGAGCAGAATTTTGATTATTGTCGCACAGAAAAAAGGATTGCTGCTTCTATGATTATATGTATGCAAAATCTAAAACAATAAAGATACTCATAGTAAGAAGAACGTTAACTGAGCGGATAATGCGGATCTCTTCCACGCGTCAGACTGCTCTGTCGCTTTCAACTGATGGGCGAGAAAGTTTTTGACTTAGAGCTATTCTCTTCGCTCTGCGCTAAATATGTACATATAGGCGAAAAAATGTCGAGAATATAGTTTGAGCAAAACTTACGAGGTCAATTTTCGATAACCGCCACAAATATTTTAATTCATCCCATTTTTTAAACATTTTTCTTAATGCCATCAATATAATCGAAGCAAGTATGCACTAAAAATATAAACTCTTGGAATGCACCAAACGACTGCATTGGTAAAATTGGGTTACTGAATTTCATCAATATGGAAAGGTAACCTAACAAAATGCAGCATTCTTTTAGCATCTGTAGTTTTGGAAGATGAAACCTTCGGACATCATAAACGAAATGTTACTTTTTAGACTTAACTTTCTGTTATAACTTTAACAAAGTTTCATAAGGAAACTCGCATTTCGCACGTTTAAGGGATGCTTCACAACGAAAACTTCGCGCATTGAGATTGACACGTTTCTTGAACACCTATCTGTCATATGTGCAATGACACAAATGAGTGATTGTCATCCAACAAAGTGATTCATGAAGTGATTGATACTGATGAATGCTATCAGCGATCACACTTGATACATAGTGTGATCGCTGATACCAGAATGCCTACTTTTCTATAAGTGTTCGTTCAGCGAACGTATTGCAGACCGTAAAAAANAAAAAACAATCACTTTTATTTTGGTAACAATGCATTAATTACAAAAAGCGTTTTCAAAGATACACAAGCATAAACAATCTCACCATAGGAAGCGTGTAGAAAAGTGGCCCGAAGAATAAGATGATGCCCATCATGAAAATGCAGCTGATAAGCGATGCAATCTGAAATGAGGAGCTGGAACGAGTGCATTCAGAGAAATTTTCGAAAACAAAAAATTCAAACTTTGTAACAAGGCATGACCACTTCCAATACGCTCTTCTTATCATGTCAAACAACTGAGGAAACACTTCCAAAGACCAATGAAAATATTGGCATGTTTTGTTGATGAATTATAATTGGAAATATTGATAGCTATAAACTGGATAATGAAGAAGAATATGAATTTTTTCACTTCCAAGATTTAGGAAGGTGAATGGCCTGAAGTTCATGAGAAAAGTGCTTGCTCAAATCAGTGTCAGTCACTTTTTGTTGTCAGTTTCCTCCTCAGGTCGTTTATTGAGATCTGAACTGGTTGAGAGTGCAAAATCAGTGCAACTCGCCTGTGTCTGCGATCCACTCGCAACGCTCACCAATGTCCTTCCCATAGAAGTGGATGACGGATAACACAAAAACAGACCTGATATTGTCCCCATCAACCCGTATGCATAAAGTTCCTAAAACAACTTTATGCTTTCACTATACAATCATAAGTGTGAAAACGAGAAATTGAAAAATGCATTCCATGAGAGTTTCTGTTTCATTTACCTGTCCAGCATCAATTTTATATTTCAGTTTTTTCGCTAACATTTTCGACATTGAAATATGAATAGCGATCGAGAGTGCAGCTATGGCAAGTGCGTCTGGCAAGCATTCAGGCATCAGTTCAAAACGAGGCAGTCGTGGTTTCGGCAACCTGAAGTGATCATATTTGGATTCTTCGACAACGATTCTTCGCTTGAGTNGTCACACTTAATACATAAATCAGAATGCTTACTTGTTTATAGGTGTTCGTTGAGCGAACGTATTGCGGACCGTAAAAAAACAATCATTTTTATTTTGGTGACAATGCATTAATTACAAAAAAGCGTTTTTTGTAATTAATGCATTGTTACCAAAATAAAACAATCATTTTGAACGAAACTATTAAAAACGAAAACATGCCCGACGGGTATCTCTCCAACGCAGCGCACATGAAATACATCTCGAAGTTTCATCGTATACGAAACCAAAGTTCCACTGATAATCTTCAAATGAAGTCTTCAGTAACTGATCGTTCAGCAAATACAGCCATTCGTTTGTATTGAACAAAAATTTCACTTTTTTGAAAAAAAGCACATGCTCAAGCGCCTCGTACCGCCGTGTTTATGCGTAAAGGATAATTGTACGTATTGGGGCAGATGGAAGTTCGTTAGTGTTCTGATAGTCCGCATCGAAAACTCACCAAAATGAGCTCATATGGGATCTGAATCGCCTTTGAGTATCGCTTTACACGTGGATCGATGAACTCCTTTCCAATGTAAATAAACAACATACTACATACCGAAGTAATGACGACACAAATATTAGCATTCGGGATATTCATTACTATATCCGATATTCGCTGAAAATCAGATTTATTGAAGTTATAATATTGATTCCTTATTCGATTACTGGTTGTGATGCGAAGCCGATGTGAACTGGAAAANTGTACACTTTCAAGACGCGAGCTATCCGTATGACTGATCAAACATATTAACCTTCAAGATGTGCCTATTGCCAACAGCTTTGATATTAAGTCCGAGCACGACTTTTATTTGTCCGACAGCCACATGAACTGCTGCCCCGGTTGTGAAGCCTGAGACAAGCGTATCAGAAAAATATTTTGTGATGAACTGAAGACCGCATATTGCAGCCACCAACTGAAACAGAATTGCTTGCAGCTAGTGTGTTCTCAATCAAAGCTTATCTGAAGAGCATCGTTATTTTTCAGTGATCCATGTTTGAGTGATTCAATAGCATGAAGAAGAACATTTTCCTCAGTTATTAAAATAATCACTTGCTACTGATATTGATATGAATTGAACTGATCATAAAGGCTAGACTAATCGCCATACCAAAATGATTCCTTGCATTGTGAAGATGGTACTTGCGATTTCGATTGCTGAGTACTCGGGAACTGCGATATTCTTCGTATCATTCGCATCCATTCCGAGCGTTTCGTTTTGGCTTCGTTGCATTTGATCGTTCATCATTACTCGGTCGACGGCCATACCACACATCAGTGCAACTATTGCAAATGAACCTTAAATCAGGACTCCAGAGAGAAAATTATAGCAGGTAATTCCTTCCGTATTAGTGATATTGCTACTGAAAGGAATTTGAACAAATTGCTAATTTTTAGTCCTATTGTATTGGGTTTTAGTTGATGTTCTTTAGACGAATATCTGCAGCGATGAAATTTATATGAACCCTTCGCAAATGGATGCAAATGATTTATGATCGAAATGATCACTCTTACTATCTTGGGTTGGGTACTTATTCAAACTACGGATACTAAGTTCGTGCAATGCCCGATGAGGATCACTGCTCATAGACTTCCCGTTTCTGGATAACACAACAATTGCAATACTGACCAACCGATGCGTGTCTTGATGTACCAAAAATCGCATAGATAAGCGCCGGAAAAAATGAAGTATATAGGCCATAAACAGGCTGAACACGAGCCAGAAGTGCGTATGCAATACCTGAATTCAACAAAAACACTGAAAATTATAAGAATCGACATCGTGCGTAATCTTTTCCTGACAGATGATGAGAACTGAATATTCTAGCAGTAAAATTTGAGTTGTAGATGATTTGCTTCAATTCCAAACCTTATTTTCAAACTATTATGTGGCGTTTTTCTATCAGATTCAGTTTGACGAAATGAATGAAGAAGTGTTTCAGTTTATTTCATGCAAATCCTTCAAACCTTGTGTGGTGTGCAAAACACCAATTGTAAGACCTCCAACAATATCACCGAGAATATTCTTTTTCACATCATAATTTGGCAGCCAATCGATAATCGGTAAAAATCTATGAATGCGACGCGAAATTTTCGAGCGGAGCGATTTTGACCTAAGAATTTAATGTTTTACTCATTCGGTAAAGCAGCAGTGTAAAATCATTCATTCAGCATAACCATAACGATATTCTGTTTAATGTGGCTAATAGTGAGCATAGAACGATAATACAGAATGGTAATGAGCAATAGCAGTGAACTTCACTGCTAATGAGAACATTTATGCATTCAGTTCACCTGAGACAAACAAAAAGATATCGGCGAAAAGGATTAGTGGGTAAGGATTGAAAGGGGAAATGTTCAATAGTGAACTCAACTCATCGATAAAATCGCAAGCAAGTATTCGTTGGCCGCTAATTTCGCAATCTTCACAACTGATGAAGATATTGAGTATAAGGAAATTTGACAAAAAATTACTTTGTCAAAGTGGATTGCTGGATCGGTAACGATGTTTGCAGTTTACCCTCTTTGTCACGATAGGCTACGATGTTCGTCGGAATTGTGCCATGTTTACTTTCGATCTTGAAACAACATCAATAAACTCCAAAAGCAAATTTTTTTCAACAGAGTCATCAGCTCAAGCTGAGAACCGTCTGACTTATATTTTCATACCGAACGAATTAACGATGCTATTGAAGATGGTTATTTGATAGAAAGGAAACCTTTTTATTAGCGTTTGCGTCTTCTCTGTTCATTTAATGCAAGCTCAACTGATGCTACTGTTACCTAAAAAGTTTCATCTATCACGTAAGGTTGGTGGTGATTGATTAATAACGACAGTGTAACGAATGGTGGACTAGTTATATTCATCTAGTTATATTCACTAGTTATATTCACGGCGCGTTATCGTTTGATTTCCGGGATCAACAACCTTATTTCAAACTGGCGAAAATGCTCAATAAGCAGCATGTTCTGATGTTAGGGCCATGAGGCAGGTATAGGGCCATTATGTAGTACGAACCGATCGAGATTTCAACTATTCCCAATCGGTTCTTATTACATAATTAGTCAGAGGTGTGCAATAGGGCGTTATTCGCTAATTTCGCTAGTTAGCGAATAGCGCACTATTGCACACCTTTGTAATTAGCTATTTATGAAGCTGTGGATGACGATTCACCAGGATGTCTCCGAAACGCAACACATCACACGTAATTTACACCTAGCATTACACGGGACTTGAGGTCACATCATTGAACTGAGTCGAAGTGTTCCTAGCATGAACATCGGTTTGCTTGCCACGGAAACATTCAGTCAAAATTGCTACTGAAGTGTTGCATGATCTTTCATCATCGAGAGCCATATTCGGAACAACATTTCAACATAACGGACCGAACAAGTAATAATTCGTTTTCCTCTGACAACCAGATTTCATTTGACATGCAATTCTTAACATGGGCTTCGCACATGACACAGATAGCGAAATTTTTCGTTGCGTTTCAAATGCCTCTAAACTTTATTGAATGAATAACAAACGTTTTCCTAAAACGATGAAGGGAAGTAATCAATGACAATGATTGATTTAATTAAAGTGAAATGCGCAGAACACCATAAGCTTGGTTTCAGGCAGGTATCGTTCATGAAATTGACTCGACCATGAGTGTACTGAATACAGTCAGCGTTATGAAATTTGGGGTAGGTCTCATCCTCGGCGCATTACTTGCAAATGCATCAATATTCACTGTTCATTGAAACAAGACACAACAAACAAAGGTGCAATTCAGCAGAAATGTAAAAGAATCGGGAATAAACGATAGCGATCACACAAGAAATAAACATTCTCGGTGTGATAAGATGATTCTCATTGATCAATTAAAAAACATCCTCCACTTTATTATCGCACTGAACTGCCACCACCATTCACTTATCAATGGTTACACTGTGTGAACTGATGTCGTGCTAACTCGTTTTGTATTATTTCCGAACGTACACGCTAACAAATGACGTAATCCAGTGAAAACAAGATGATGCGCAAAAACGACTCGAGTTCGCCCAATTGATGGTACCTGGACTATGAATGTATTAAATCGAGTATTACTGTATTTTGAACTGTTACTTTTAAACAAAAGTTTGCAGTAACCAGTGCATACTGAAACTGATATATTGTATTGGTTTGATAGATGAGGACCGATGCTCTTACAGACTGTATTACGCCGCCATTGTCGCANAGTTTTGGAACATAAGTTAATAATACATGGAAAGTGCTTTTTTTTGTTAGGCATTCCGATAAATTGGCACTAAATTACAGGGAAAAAAATTTTTATTGCATTTCATCCCATTATGACCATATTTAGATCCGGTTCACAAGAATAAAGATCAATACGCCGTCATTGTTGAACAGTTTTGGAACATTTTTCATCAGCTTGATTCAATTCTCCCATTTTTTCACGACATTTTTTGTCAGAGTCTTTGTTTTTCATGGCGTCCTTCCTGAAAAACACATGATGAGCACGTTACCTTAGTGGCTATATTCATAGCATGACAACGAAACGAAGTACTCCATGAAAGTGATGAGTGTGTTCTGTGTATCTGCTCAATACTATTCGATATGCAATACAAATTATCACGTCCATTGTTAAAACGAACTTATTTTGCATTCAACCCACAAATGTTTGCAACGAGCATTTCAGAACGTATAGTTCCTTGACATTTCCGGTATACGCTTCATGCTTCATGCGATATCATGATTAACTCTTGTAATTTGTGATCGTTAATATGCATTCATGTAATCCACGTTAAACGAAACAACTGTCATATGACATCTCCCCGAAAGATGTTTGGTACTAATGGAAAAACTTCAATTGTGATGAAGTTCCTTCACGTTGGTGAAATCAATCTTACCAACAACCAAAAAAAGAATAAAAAAGAAATATTTTTTGATGAAAGATTTTTGTCGTCAACAATAAAATGCCTCTCGCGCTACATGGCAACTTCATCTCCTGCTGTTTTCGCATATTTTAATCATTGACTACTCTCAAACGTGTTATTAACACAACATGTTTTTAATATCATCGTTTCAATGCAGGAGTGTTACATTGATTATCGTTCTGATAGTTCTTCAAGAATGAGACTTTATTCGTTGCGCAGGTTCTTTCAGTAGCTTTTATCACATCTCGAGCCAAGCAAACGCAAAGTGTTCATTGAAAATTGATAAACAAATAGTGTAATTCTATCGCACAATATGCGTGTATAACATTAATATTGATTCACATCATTCTGTTATTCATTCATTTAAATCGTTCTTCCTTCCATTACCATCCGTGTTTGCCTTCGTTTCACTTATTTTGTTCTTTTCGATCTTGCCTGTTTAGTTTTTGTAACTTTCAGTTCTGTTCTAAAGTTAAAAGTTTTTCCGACCGTTCCATTCCACGCGAAGAACGATCCTTGAACCTTTTCCTCCGTTCCGTTCTTTACAAACCGTTTTGGAACAGTTCTAGGAGCGGAACGGAATGAAATACAAACACTGATCACTACTTTCAATGTGCTGTNGTTCCTCCGTAGCTGTTCATTCCAGTACCGCCAAGAAAGTATTTACAATTTCAAGTTTGCAACGACGTTCGGGAGCTGAATCGGTGAAATGGGTTAATTTATGAACGAACTCTTCACCGACTGAGCCCCCAGATGTTGTTCGAGAACAAGCACTTCTATTCCGATTTCACATCAATGCTCTATCGACGTGATTCGACAATGCCAAAAAAATACGACCGAATGAAACGTTCTGTAACGCAGCGAAGAAACAACAATGGTTTCTATCGTATGAAGATCACTAACTCTTTCATGGATCGTTGTCGCTTTTGATGCAGTTCTCTGAGTTCTTCTATTAGTTCTTCGTCTCTTTTCACCTCAATCTCACCGGTTTCTTCGTTATCTGATGGAAAACTCAGATTTCAAATTGGAATAATTTTCAAAATACTTTCATTCTCACATTTGGCTTCGCCAGTGTAGGATTTCGTGGAATATTTGGAAATTATTATCCATCGTTAACTGATGTGAGACAAGTCACATTATCCATTTCTCGACTCGTTAGTTCTTTTAGGCTGATTGCGCTTACCAAAAACCTGAAATATCTGCATCTATCTTCACAGCGGTGCAAAACCCGACGGTACCAGTTAATGTTCGACCTCGTAGTCTAGAGTCGAAGCTTTCGAATGGAAGATCCCAATTTCNTGCCAAGAACAAGAAATGATCACAAATTAGCATTCATAATCTCAAACGCCTTACTATTTGCATAAGTGATGTGAGCAGTAATTTTTGCTAGTATGACAATTACATTCACAATAACAGTAACGAAACACAGCGTAGAACACTTGGATGGTGGTTCTGTTGAAAACAGACAGCCTATTGCATGAATACATAAACACCCATTTCAAACATTCATTTACACTTAGTTACCACTGTATTCATTACAGACCATGAATGTTTTACATTATCGCGATTAACTGTTTCTTGCTTGCGTTGTTCCACTGACCTAGCCAACACACCTTAGGGGTACAAGCATATCGCGTTTGATTGAATCCGCGGTCTTGTTATTCCTATTATTATTTACGTTTATTTGAAATCTTCAACAGACAGTGATTCTCAAAAACAAATCAGTAAATGCATCATAAGGTTCAGAGCATCAGAAATTGTCGAAAGGTCATAGGCACTTTATAATGATGTTTCATTTTACGAAGCAACAGAGGCAATTACATAATCTATCAAATTCGTCAAGTTCGTCGTAGCATTGAAAACAGAAACATTTCAGACTCATAATCGTTGTTCTTATCAAAAATTCAATAAAACAATGGTGCAATGATTTCACTGCACACCACAATACGCTGCCAGATCGAACCATCGAAACAATAACAAACACTTTCATTACAAATCTGATCGATCGTTGAGCAACTTATTAATATCTTCTTCAATACTCAGCGGTTCCGTTGTCGGAGCGTATCGCTGAATCTGAAATACACTTGACAAAAATAAATTGATTCAAAATATGAAGAAACGAACTGAAACTCAGAACAAATGCGTTCCAAAAGACCCATTCAATACTGCAATAAACTCACCACATATCCACTTTTATTAACCAAAAACTTTGTGAAATTCCATTTGATTGCATCAATAAATGTGCCGTGTTGTGCGTTTTTTAAATACGTGTACAATGGATGTTCATCAGCTCCATTGACGTTAATCTTTGAATATAAATCTGGCTCGAAATCGAACGTCTCACGGACGAATTTCTTTATCTGTGCTTCACTGTCAGGTTCCTGGAACAGGTATGATTCGAAGATGTCTGCGTAAGCTGATATAGGTTCTACTGCTGTAAGTGTATGTGTTTGCTTCGCTCCTGATCAACAACAGCATCGATTCGTCGAAAACGATTTTATAAGTTTACTTGTCCAGCGAATTGGTTGCAGGGAAAAGCGGCGATTTCGAAGCCCTTTGCTTTGTACTTGTTCAGTAGAACTTTCATTTGATGGTAGTTCGAATTAGTTAAACCACACTGCGACGCTACGTTGACAATCATCAGAACTTTGCCTCTTCAATGAAAGGAATTAGTCGAACCTTCTCAGGAATGTAATCTCAGCAGTGTTGAAAGTAACTGTGATAATTCCAAATGAGTAATGTGGAACAACGACTGAAAGTTATCAGAATATGAACATTTATTCAAAGGAAGAAAAACAGTATAAAATTCACCTGTATTTATCAAGTGATACTTCCTTTCCATCTGCGTCAAGCATTGTGAACTGGTAAACGGGAGCGGTGAAATCGATTGCCAACACTATAATGGCGAGCACAGCACTGAGATGTCAAAATTACTCTCGAAATCAGCACTGATCTTTAGGACAAACCAAATTCCTATTGCCGAACTAATTCGTAAAAAATAGAGTTTCAATACACAAAACTACTGGAAACCCTGGAGTGTATAATGAAACATTCATGTTGTGAAACTTACTCATTGTCATTAAAATAATATGTGCGTTTTAAAAATCGCTTCATTGAGCAAAACCAACCTTGCAGAGATAACTGATGCACAAGAAACAGGCAGGATAAGTAAAATATTGCTTGCATCGCTGAAAATAAATATTTCTACCATAATTTTCGACGTTAATCAAATTCACTTGAAGGTCGCATAAAATGCGCAATCCAATACAAAATGAAAAGCACAGTTTCTCGTCACGAACTATACGTCCGTGCAATTGAAATGTTAAAATGAACGCGATGTAATTTGCATCGCTTCCATCCATCCAGCTGGTTCCCACTCATTGACAACCAGTCGGATTCGTTACAAAGCAAATTAACGAAGCGATAATTCAATGATAATCGCTTCATCACTGATGCCTTTCATTCGATCATACGTCACGCAGACAGGGAATGGACAAAAGACGAGTGAACGAGATGGAATGAGGCAAAACGGAATTCACACTGCAGCCAATGTTTATATCATCAACAATGTAAACATCACGAACTGCTCTATCTCTCTCCACAACCCTATATGACCGTACATATGAAACTAACGTTCAGCGATAATATTCAAAATGTGTAAATTCATCGCTCCTTTTATGACAAATTTCAAAAACTTTTCATTTGTGTATTTATGAACTCTTACAATTCTACGAAGTTCAATCGCACGAGACTGCAAATATGACATCCAAACATAGTTACGCAACGACTACGATTATTAATGCAAATAAAATCCAATTAATTCACAGCAAACTTTATTACAACTCATTTTGAAAACTAACTTATTCATGTTTATAATGAATAAATTCGAGATGAAAAGTTGAAACTTCTTTAAAAACGTATCCTCTTACATATCAATAATTTGAGCAACGACAATATCACAAAATGAAAACAACGCAAAATGAATGTAATCAATGTTCGAACAAACTTTACAATGTTCATCCACAGCATATTATTTGTGCAATTCCATCAGTACATCAGAACTTCCAAATGACAGAATATCAAATTCAAAAGGCATAAACGGTCTATTTGGCTCAACACTAAATCTAAAATAAACCTCTACCTTACCTAAAACCGAGCTCACCATAAAAGATAAGGTATAGCCACTGAATAAAACATGAGGAATATTTTATGATTCGAATGAATCATTTCTTATTAGAACATTTAACAGTGCCTCAAATGCACTTACGTAAATTACTACCTACATAAAATGACATAGGATGCAAATTGTGAGGTCATGTAACCATTTAAACAAATATTACATTTTATACAATCAATCTTTTAAACAGCGAACATTACAATTCAAAAAAGGGAATGGGATTGCAATAGTTCTCATAGTTGTTGCCTCGAATCCTTCATGAGCACAACATAATGAATGCTATCATCGTATGATGCATAATGTACATGCTGAAATCCCATCGCTTCCAATCGCATAAGTTCATAATAGAAACGTCGACTATTTACATTTTCCTCGCCAACCCACAACCTAAAATTTGGTCATCAGATTGTCATAAATTCGACTGCAACGACACCAACATGAGTTATGAGGTTGTTGCATGCGAACGGATTCCGATGAATACAAAAGATTAGTTCGCTTCGGTGCACATCTTCAATTCGTTCTCTGGATTCAGATTCGCACAAAATCATTGGGGTTCTGATAAAAAACTCGAGGGGCAAATCGATCGAAACTGACGAGACATTCTCCAATAAAATAATTCCACATTTAATTGAAACGATGAGATAAGATTTCACAGAATAAAAGTTGCGTGGAATATGAAAAAAAANAAAAAAAAGAATAACTTTAGAAAGCCCCACCTTATTCTCATACTAATCTGAGAGATACGTTTAAGCTGTTCCGATGAATTCAGAATCGCTTCAAGAACGCTCCATTCGCCACCATTTAGATCAAGAATAAGTGTACTAATTTCCTTTTGGCCACACTTTTCGATAACATCAGAAAACTTCAGCAATTCCCATTGGTTGCCACCATCTACGCCCGAAACCGAAATCGATTCATTTATGTGAGGCGAAATACCGAAATTGAAAACATGCATCCTGCTGTCGTTTCTGAAATCAACACTATCACGCATTTTTTTCGCTAAAACAAAAGATGAAATGAAAAGGCAATAATCAACACAGTTATTGCTCAAATTCTTCATGAGCGAAACGTTGTCTCTGAATGACTCAGTCAACTAGAGAATACATATCAACAATACATGTAAACTGTTCTAGAAAACTAGCCAGCCAATCGGTAGCAGTTTCGAATTTACGTTACGAATGAATTGGAAACCAAAAATTACATAGAATACGTCGGAGTTTTTGGGTTCGTAAAACGTGAGTAAATGCGCTCAGGTATACCCATACTGATATATTCGATATTGAGTAGACTGCGAACCGTTGAATCACCTCACATCATCCTATTTATTATCAATGACTGCCGAAATGAAATTATTAGACCATGGTCGAAGAATGTCAAAAATAAGAAGAAAGATATTGAAATCCCGGAAAGAATTAACCAAATGGAAGGCGAAAGAGCAACACTCACATCAGGTTGGACTGCAGTGGTGAAAAAAAGAACACCTCGCAGCTATCCAGAGAATGAAGAATCCTTGCCGATTGCGGTTTACGATAGCTGAAATTGAACGTATTTCTCATGCAGATGAAATTCAGACGTTCAAAGTACACCTCCAATACGAACTCAAGATCATTTGTGAAATTTTCAACAGTTTGATGCTAAGTGATGTTTGATTGAAATGTTCGAAAATGGGTGTTTTCGGAACTGGCTTGTGCGAAAGACCCGCCACTGGAAAGTAAAAAATTCATCAAGAAATTTTGTGCTACAGACCTTATGTAGACGATAACACACGCTTCACGAGAATTCGACGGCTTGCAAAATGGAGGTATAGCATCTTCTTCATTAGTAACCAGTGTACAATTATGATGTCGATCAACTGTTTTCATGAACTGTATAAGACGTTTTCTTTCTTCAATCGGTGAACCTAAAGATTAACATTCACAAATGTAATGCTCAAGTAAAATCTTAAAAACACATTCTCACATGTAAATTTATCAGAAATTGATCAGAAAGCAAATATTTTTGCTAACAATATTTTTGCAAAAGCTCAGATTCTTTTACGTTTCGTTATCGCAAGAATTTATGAGAAAATGCTCTCAGTGAGACAGTAAATGTTGAATTTTCGAATGAGGAAAAGGCAGTTCCTGCTTAATCTGGAAATAAAGGGAGTGAAACGAACCAAGTCCAAAGACAGGTGGTGAGACATTGTGCTGGCTGTTATGAATAAAACTTAAACGATACACACAACCGTCTATTCGTCGAAGACAAACTCCTCGAAACTGAGCATCGATTAATGCGAAATTGTATTTGAAAAATACACGATACAGCAAACGATACCACTCAAAAATCACATTTTCCGCATTCTTCTTGTCGATTTTCACCACAATTTGCATTTGCTTCGTATGCAAGTACTGGAATAATCAGAAAATTGATCTATCAAAAGTGATGATCAATATTTTAATGCATTCATCGTCAGCAGTATTACGAATAATCAAAATCATCTAGTACTAATCCGATCTATTTACGATGATATTTTCTTATAATAACATCACTAAGGCAACGAAATACCTTTATCATCAGACAGTTTCATTGTGCTCGGCATGCAGAACAGAATATGAGTGACAAGAATGACAAGACGAAAGCAGCGAACACTAACTGGTAGTAACTTTTCAACGAATTTCGGTGCCTCTATTAACTGATCAAAACCACCATTCTCGGGTTTGCTGATGAACGACGAATAAAAGTTGAGAAATGCACTATCGAAATGTTTGTTCTCAATCCCATCGAGGATATTATCGACATCCCAGTCCTCAAAATCACGTAATCGCATCAAATAATTCACCTCAACATCTGTAATCCGATTCTTTAGTTTACTTGTGGAATTCTTATTTCATTCACATTTCAAAATCCTCATCATCTACCCGTCTTGAAAGATCTCTGAAATAATCCTCATCCTCCCCACCACATATCAAACATCTGACTTTCCTATAAAGTTAGAAATTGGCAACTTTTTTTGGAAAAATCAGTCACATTTTTGAAAAAAAATCAAAAATAATCGAATACTTAACACAGTTAGGAGATTCTTAATGGAGAAGAAACGGTCTGAGAAAAGGAAATTATGAATGGAGTGCACGAACCGACGTTGCCGAGTTGGTCAAGAGGTGAATAGTTTTCTGGAACGAACACAGTCCATCGTTTCGCATTCAACGACTTCATCAATGATCCATCCTCACTAACGTACCCGCTCAACAGAAGCGCATCACTGAATCTTCAAAATCACTTTCTGTCAATTTATCCGTACAATTCGCTTGTTTACCATGGGCTACTTCATTTGCGTTAAGCAAATCATCAACTCATCGAAACTTTTTCAGCAAAATGCTTGGCCATATTCAATTTTTTTCCAAATGCAATATAAATAACCGAATCGACTGGTTTAAATCAACTTGAATTTATAACTTTTCGTTCATAGATTCATTTCTTCGACTCTCTAAGAGTCATATGTACTCCAAATATAGAACGAAGTCATTGTAAGATCAAAAAATTACCCAACTGCAGATCTTGCATCAGCCATATCATCGTGACACACGACAAAACTGTTTTGGTCATTGCCAATTCGGATTGGTTTCTGACATTTATACTGAGGATTAGCCAGCAATTCGTTCAAGCGTAGAGATTCGAGCACTGAATCGTTAAGGAACGGTGGCGATAACAAATTTACTTCATCCCAGTTCAGTGATAGTTTCGACGGCTTGACACTACAAGTATACGGTTTAAAGTTTTTACGCAACCGCGATACTTCAAAATAGATTCAACTCATTTGTTGACTTAATGCATTCAGTAATCTTTTTTTCATTTTGGCCGAATGACCCAAGAAGGCAACATGATAGATAAGCACACTATGCACATTCTATTCAAATATAGACGAACCTCGTTTGTGAAGTAGTGAATTCATGTTGTGTAGGAATCCATAGATATGGGAGCGTTTTAATAAGCAGATGATAGTCTTTAAGAAGAAGAACACTCAAAATTAGGGTCAGAGTGCGCAGCAGCAGAAGAGAATTACAGTACTTCATTCGATTAGTTTCTGAATAAAAAACTGCATCCGCTGTTGGTGAAGTAATTTTAAGACGAGCACAATATCCCGAGTGATTTCAAAACTTTCGGTTTTCTTCACCTTTTATTGTTCAAAATAACCGTTTTAAGGTGGTGTTGACAGTAGTGGAACAATCGATCGATGAACATTTTTATACACTCATGTTTGCTCCAATTATAATTAATGTCAGACAAATCAATAATTGATATTCACAATAACACAAACGATTTGCGATCATATTGATGTGAACGTGAGAGAGATAAAACGAGGAGTAAGATGGGTGTGGTTATGGAGGTAGCGACTAGGGTTTGCACGGGATCCCAGGATTACAGTTCTGCTCCCGATTCCAGGATTTAAGTTTTGAAAAATCCCGGGATTTCGGGATTTGATAAAACAGGTCAATTTGTGTGAATTTTGATAGTATGCCAATTTGTTCGGCTTCAATATTCCATCTATTGATTCAACTGCATGTTCCAAAGACTGCAAGTCTTTTCACTTCGCTATTTGGAAACGTTTTCATCCGATCGAAATGTACATAAATTCTCACTGAGTTCACTCATAGTGAGAGTTCATTGCCGAAGTGGGCAAAGTGAATATCAAGTACATTTGCATGATTTT